AGGGTTCCTGAGCACCACCAGATGCAGGGGGTTCCCAGCACTGAAGAGATGGCCTGGGAACTCAGCACTGCAGGGCTCACGCAGCCCCATAAACTTACAAGAACTTGCTGGTCCAGTTGACTGAGAATTGTCAGTAGGACCCTGCACCCCCAACCCAACCTGGGCACTCTTTGGAGTACCTCCAAATAAATAGTAATCCTTTGTTACCCAAGGAAATGTACTCAGGTGTAAAGACTTGGAGACTCGTTGGTGCTAGCCTGGGCACCCAGGCATTTCAATAATCCCTATGATTAAGTGAGAAGGAGGCAAGACTCTCAACACAAAGAGGGTAATAGTGGAGATGGTGATTTCTCGAACCCATTTCCAGTTCTGTATGCACAGACACGTCTCAGAATGGCTTTGTGCTGATTCCTAGGGCATTAGAATTTCCTTCCCATGGTCCCAAAATGACCCTGGGAGGGCTGCTTTCTGAGCGTTTGGGTAGATGATTCTGATGGTATTTCAACAGTCATTCCAGATCGGGGAGTTCGGGAAACAAATGTGCTCCTCAAATCCTCTTTGGCACTCCGTCCTCACAAGAAACATGACTTGGACAGCCGTGACTCGTCGCGGCCTGTTACCACCTTGGATGGTGGTGAAGACAGAAGTGATCTGATTCAGTGCTAGAAGGGCGTGCTGTGAAAACCTCTGCTCCCAGGGAAAACGCTGACCTAGAAATCTAATCATGCAGTGACATGTTCGCACTGGAAGCAACTGCTGGCTGCTGAGCTTCATGGGAGGACCAGCCTCGGTGATCACAGTCGCTCACAGCTGCCAAATGGTGATCCAGGGCTTCTCTGTCTGTCATCACCCCACTCGTAAACTGACCAACCCTCCAGGCACTGGGCACATAATACTGGGATATAGATGTTCGTCTTGCACACAGCAGACCCTCGTTTGATCTCCGATGCCCCACAGGGTACTGCCAGGAGTGTTCCCTGAGAATAGTCCAGCTTCCACCCAGCCCTTTACCTTTGATAAATATGTGCATTTTCATATTAAAAAGTTCTGATGCTCCAGGGGAAAGGGCAGCTCAGATAGAGAAGGGAGCACCAAATAAAGGGTGTTTGGAGGATCCTACCAGGAGGGGAGATGTATGTTGAAAGTAGACTATGGACTGAACATGTTTGCTACTCAAAGCCTCTTTTGCGGACCACAACACTCAAAAGGAGAGAGAGAACACAAGGGATTGCCCTGCCACAGAGGCAGGGTGGGATGGGGGGGATGGGGGTGGGAGGGATATTATCCATGGTGGTGGAAAATGGGAAGTGGGGGAGGGATGGGTATTTGATCATTGTATAATCGAAACCCAAGCACAAAAAATTATAAATCTACAACCGTACTTCATGGTGTTTCACTAATAATAATAAAAAAAAGTTCTGATGCTTTTCCCCCCATAATGATCTTTTTAGGATGTCACAGAGTAGAAAGTAGTTTGGTTGTGGTTTTGTGTTTGGTCCAAAGAGATTATTTCTCTTAGAATGATTTCTTTAGGAATTTTACTTGTGCCAAGCTGGTGGTAGAGCACTGTCTCTCCTGTTCATTTTTATTTTATTTTATTTTTGGTCTTTTTTACGTCACACCTGGCAGTGCTCAGGGGTTAGTCCTGGCTCTACACTTAGAAATTACCCCTGGTGATGCTCAGGGGACCATATGGGATGCTGGGGATCGAACCCCGGCAGCCAAGTGCAAGGTAAATGCCCTACCTGCTATACTATCAATCACTTTGGCCCCTCCTCTTAATTTTTAAATGAAGCAAAGGGTAGGGGCAGAGAGGAAGGCCGACTAGGTCATGCATGGAAAATCTGTACAGAAGAACATTCTGTACGATACTCTAATGGTCAGTACACTGGATATTTGGCTAAGCCATAGGCTGTACACCAAGTGAACCCTAGTAACTGATGGACTTTGTGTGAAAATGATGTGTTTATGTTACTTTATTGATTGTAACAAATGTCCTTTGGTGGGGAGTATTGATAATGGGGGAGGTTGTGTGTATGTGGCCGGAGGAGTGGTGGATTGCTCTACTTCCTTAGTTCCTGAGAGCCTAAACCTGGTCCAACAATAAAGACTACTAAAACAAACAAACAAAAAAACAAAACAAAACAAAAAAACCCTTAAACTAAGGCCCAAAGAGAGTAAGGGCAGGGGAAAAGTTTTGTTGTTGTTGTTGTTGTTTGCTTTTTGGGTCACACTCGGTGATGCACAAGGGTTACTCCTGGCTCTTCACTCAGGAATTACTCCTAGCAGTGCTCGGTGTAATCCTACGGGATGCTGGGAATCGAATCCAGGTTGGCCGCGTGCAAGACCAACGCCCTACCCGCTGTGCTATCACTCCAGAGCCAAGGGGATAAAGTTCTTGCCTGTGTGCAGCCAACTTGGGCCCGTTCACCAGCACCACATATGATGCATAGCCCAGCATTTCCAGGAGTAATCCCTCAGCACACAGCAGGAGTAAGCCTGATCACCACCGGGTGCAGTTACCGTCCCAAACAAAAACAAGAACACAGTGTCAGCAACCTAGTTTGCCCATCCAGCATGGACCAGTTAGGTCTGAGCTGCATGTTTCCTGTCCAACCATGTTTTAAGTGAGGTAACAGTCACTAGGACAAAGACGCCCTCAGGAGTTCTCATTTAGTTTACAAGCCCAGAGAAGGAAATTTTCTTTCTGCGTCTAACTGATGGGGCAGTTATATACACAAGACTGGTGGAGACAACCCAGCCACATTTCCTGGTGATAGAAGACCAAAGGGAGGTGGGGTTCCATCTCCAACCCATCCTCTGGGACTGCCATTTCTGGAGTAAAGAGAACTGCAAGGAGACACGAAAGCAACCTCTCCAAGATTCAAGCGAAGGCATAAAACAGAATAAAAATATGGGACGGGCAGTGGACTAGCTTTGGTCTTGCTTTGCTTTTGACCAAACTCTCTTCTCTCCTCAGCACCATACAGGGTTCCCTGAGCCCTGCCAGGAGTGATCCCTCAGCACCACTGGGTGTGACCCCAAACCAAACCAAACAATCTCCCCCCAAAAGCCCCAAGAAAACAAAAAATACATGACAAATCTTATGCATCCGAGTTTACGTATGGAGATTCACAACCCAATTTTGCAATTTAAAGAATGTCAAGGAAGAGGACATTTCAGATTTTTCTAGAAACTTTGACCTCTGACTCCCAACTCAAAGCAATGCCTCTATTCTCAGCCCCCTTCTAGCTACACATTGTCAGAAAAGTGCAAACAGTAAGCCTGAACTCTGACCGCTTCCAAGCCATTTTCAACTGGGATAGGTTAGCTGCTATAGCAAAGAAACCCCATCTCTCATGCATTTATTTATTTATTTATTAGTTGGGTAAGGTATTTGCCTTGCACACGGCCCACCCGGTTGACCCAGGTTCGATTCCTCCACCCCTCTCGGAGAGCCTGGCAAGCTACCCGTGACATATTTGATATGCCAAACACAATAACAATTGTCACAATCGAGACGTTGCTGGGCCTGCTCGAGCAAATCGCTGAACAAGGGGAGGACAGAGCTACAGTACTACAGTTCAAAAATTGATTTCTAATCTTAAGCCTTACATAATGGTCACACCTCACTTTTTTTTGGGAAAAGAAAGTATTTTGGCATAAAATCTGTGATCATAAACTATGTGTGAAATGTGAATAGACCCAGGGAGCCTGGCACACCAAATTCGCTCAGACTAGGGAAAAAAATGATATTCAAAAATCAAATTGTGGAGTAGTATGTAAAATACACGTTCATTTATTATTACTACTATCATGATTAAGTTTGGCGGCCACGCCCGGCAGTGCTCATGGATTACTCCTGGCTCTGCACTAAGGGATTCAGGGGTTCAGGGACCCTCTGCGATGCCAGGGACTGAAGCAGGGCTGGTTGTGAGCACGGCAGGCACTTTGAAAGCTGTGCAGTTCCTCCGGCCCTCGCGTTTACGTTTAGAGGATGGAAGCTAAAAAAAAATTTCTTGCAGAGAAGTGCTCCCTCCTCCTTGTTGGAGAACACCAGGGACTTCTCCCAGGACACTTTTGCAAAATAGTGAACAGTCCTGGTCGATTGCAGGACCTGCACTGGGCGGAGGGTCCCTAAGGGAACTGCGCGCGGGTTCCTGTGTCCTCCTCACGTTTCCAAACTCACAGCTGCTCAGCGCAGGCGCAACCCGAGAGCGCCCGGGGTTCCAGCCGGCTGCTCTCGCCTAGGAGTAGGCAGAGGAGCCGAATACACCAGGCTGGGCTGGGGGTGGGCAAGTCCCAGCTGCTCCTGGCGTCCCGGGCCACTTCTCGAGGACCCTGGCGACGTGCAAAGCACCAGACTCCGTCACCCCTTCCCCATTTCTCCACCTTCTAGCTTCACCGTTGGGCGCCACCAGTCTCGGCAGCTGGAAATGGGGGGTGGGGGAGTGTGCTTTTTAAAAAGTTCAGAGAATTCACCGCTGCTCGCTCTGCAAGAAATGCCCAAAACAGCCCGATGTAAGGGAGGGGCGGAAACAAACTGGGCTGGAAGTGGTGATGCGGTGGGCACTGATTTGCATGCCATCTCCTCAAAGACAAGGTCTGGAGATTTTGGAGACGTGAAACCTGGCCCAATCGAGGCCACAGCAGCAAGGGGTGGGGGTGGGGGGAAGAGGTTGGCAGGGCCGACCTCTTGCCACCGCCTCCGATTTTCGGGCGGGCGCTCGGCTGAACCCGCCCGGCTGGCGCAATCCCCCGCGGGCCTTGCACGGAGCAGAAAGCTGGAAACAGGCACGCCAACCCCGCGCGCGGCCAATAGGAAGCGGGGTCCCCCAGCACCAGCCAATCAGCGCAGCGTCTGCGGAGCGCGGGCCAATCGGGGCCCCGCTCGGCGGCGGAGGCGGGCCCACGGCTGGCGCCGGCCGCACACTCGCGCGGACCACGCGATCGGGGACCGGTCGGCTGAAGTCGCCGCTCCCGCCGCCGCCGCTGCAGCCGCGCCATGGACGCTCCGAAGCAGGTGGTCAACTTCGGGGCCGGGCCCGCCAAGCTCCCGCGCTCGGTAAGTGCCCGCGATCGAGTGGGCGGGAGCGCGCGTGCTCGTGCCTGAGTGCATCTCCCGGCCGCCGGCGCTAAAGGCTCCCCCAGCACTCCCCCCTCCCCCCTTTGCAACCCCGAGTTCTCTTGAATGCTCAGCACGGTCGTGCTCGCCCAGGGGGGGCGGGGAAGGGGGGGAGTTTTGCGATCGATCCGTGTCTGGGACCGTGCACGTGGCGAGGGCAGCTCTCTCTCCCGAGCGCCGGTGGCCGCGTGCAGCCTGGCACCTGCAGGTTCCGGAGCTCTCTGCCTGCCAGCGCTACTACCCAGGGCCTGCCCCTGCTGGGGGCTCCAGGGCTAACTTCCTTGACTCTGTGTGTGTGTGTGTGTGTGTGTGTGTGTGTGTGTGTGTGTGTGTGCGCGCGTGTGTGTGTGTTGGTGGGGGGAGGTGAGGATCCCTCCTGCGTGCAGAGCACGCCCTGCCTGCAACCCGCAGAGCTCACCACCCTGCACAGGTGTGAGTTCTGAACGCTTTGGTGTTCCTCTTCCTTCCTGTCCCCTGAAGCCTCTCTCTCTCTCTCTCTCTCTCTCTCTCTCTCTCTCTCTCTCTCTCTCTCTCTCTCTCTCTCTGCTCTCTTTCAGGGTAATTTCTTTTCTTTTTTTTTTTCTCTTCCTAAACTGGCTTGTCCACTAAAGGCATTCGAGTGTTCAAACTCTGATGGGCTCTGGGCTCTTCGCCCAGATGGGGTCACTTTGTTCTGGAGCAAAAGGAGTAAATGAATTCTGCCCCAGCTACCACCAGTGAGGCTTATCCAGGCACCAGTAGAATTGGCAGCCCGTGGTCCCTGCCTCCAGCCAGCTTTCATCTCTCCTTCCTCCTCATTCCCATGCCCCCAGCCCTATCCGACACCTGCAGTGAAGGTGACAGTCTCTAGAGCCTTGGACAGGGGTCTCTTGGGTAAAGTCCCTTGCATCGTGTCATTTGCATTGGGTGCCCGAGCCCCGGCTGCTAAGTTTTTTCGCAACCAGTATGAATCTGATAATATACTGTTGCCAATAGGAGGCATCGCCAAGTATTTGACAATGCCCCACTGTTAAGCCGGGCAGAATTCTCCCTGACACAGTCTCTTCTGTGTTGTGAATAGACTCTTAGGCGTGATAGAAGGGAAAAGAGTTTGGCGAGTAGCAGTGAGTGCTCACAGGGGCCGGAGCCTGGGGCTTAAATTTTTTCTAGTTCTTGCAGTCTTTTAGGCACCTCGCTGCTGGGGCTGTTTCTTGACACCCCCTCCCCCCATCTCTGTTCCCCTTATCCATGCTCTTCCATCTGCGGAGTGTTCTTTTTGCCTCCTGTGATTTGTTATTCTCTTGATAATAGCACTGTCATCAGTAAGACTGCCACTTAGATACATCTGATTTTCCCAGGAGGATTTTTTTTTTTTTTTTTTTTTTGGTCCTCACCTGTGTGCTCTTTGCCATTGATTTAAGAAAAGAAAGAACAGAAGGCTGGGGTCAGAGAGATGGTTCAGGGATTACAATCTTATCTTGTGCGTTACTAGCCGCATATTGACTGCGGTTGGATTCCTGGAATCTACATGGTCCTCGGAGTGCAGCCAGGCGGAGTGTTCCCTAAGCACCCAAGCAGGAATAGCCCCGAACACCCCCACCTAAGCATTGTCACTGCACTGCCCTCCCGATGTTCATCAATTTGCTCAAGCGGGCACCAGTAACATCTCACAACAAATTGTTACTGTTTTTGGCATATTGAATACGTCTCGGGTAGCTTGCCAGGCTTTGCCGTGTGGGCGGGATATTCTCGGTAGCTTGCTAGGCTCTCTGAGAGGGGTGGAGGAATCGAACCCAGATTGGCCTTGTGCAAGGCAAACGCCCTACCTGCTGTTCTATCGCTCCAGCCCACCCCCACCTAAAAGAAGTGTTATTAATGAGATAATAGGGATTAGAGAAACTTTTACAAAGACACTCCCCTGCCCCTAACCCCCCCTCCCCAACACACACACACACACACACACACACACACACACACACACACAGCTGGAAGTGCCCAGAGCTTTCTCCTGGTTCTGTGCTCAAAGATCACTCCTGGCAGGGCTCAGGTGGCCATTTGTGGTGCTGGGGATCTAATCTGGGTTGGCCATGTGCAAACCTTATCAGCTGTAGTATCTCTCTTAGCCTGCTTTTGCAACTTTGTATTGTAATCGCAGTTTTACAAGACATGCATATAATTCTAACGAAAGCAAAACCCCTATGAAATATTCTTTAGCTGAGTAGTAGCACACATATGTCTGTGTTCTGCTCTGCTCCTGTGCCTTGCTTCTGCCACACCTTGTCACTGTCACTGTCACTGCTGCCAACGTGGAATACAGTATGGGGAGCCTAAAAAAATCCCATTTATCTGATAAATACGAAAACACATGGAAAAGATAAATGCACCTCTAACTTCATTGTAGCTTTATTTTCAGTAGTGAAGATTTAAAAGTGCTCATCTACAGATGAAGGGATAAAGAATAGATACTATGGGATACCATCGTTTATTTAAGAAAAAAAAAGAGTGAGAGAGGAAGGAGGAGGAAGAGGAGGAGGAGGAGGAGAAATTTTGTCATTTGGAACTTACTTTCATTTGTTCATACTCCTGAGCCATGAGGATAGTATGCTAGGTGAAATAAGTCAGAAGGAGAAAGACAGTATCATATGGTGTCACTTGTAGAAGATAAAGATAAAGTAGATGGCTAAATAAAAGCAAACCATTGGGTTTTGAGCAGAGGCGTTTTTCTGCCGGGAAAGGGTGAAAGGGCCATCTATGTACAGGAGAGTGGAGACTGGACTTCTGGAGTGATCATGGTTTATCATAGAACAAACAGCTGTTGAAGTGTAGAGCTGTCTATTTACCACCCAAATAATGCCATGAACCAATGTCACTTAATTAAAATGTTTTTTTTTTAAAGTATGTATGGCCTAGGGTTGTCTGTAAACCTCATTACGTGTCCAGCCCATCTGATTTTTGATGTCTTGGCAAATGAGACAGCGTCCCTGATTCTTGAGCGTTGACGAAGATCAGAACTCCGGATTCTATCTCTCATTTGAGTGAATCGTGATATTCCAAGCATAGTTCTTTCGATTCCTCTTTGAGAGACCCGAATAGTGTTCTCATCCTGTTTTCGTAGGGTCCAGGTCTCTGAGGCATATGTTAATGCAGGAAGAATAGTGGAATCAAAGAGATGTGCTCGTAGCTGGAGGTTCTTTGTCCTTTTAGTTATTTCTTCAATGCTCTTGAAGGCATTCCAAGCCGCTCTCTTCCTCCTGCGCAACTCAGGTGCCAGGTCATTCATCATGTTGATTTCTCGACCTAGGTATATATAACTGTTGCATTCGGAGATGGTGGTTCCGTTGAGAGCGGATGGGCTGGACACGTAATGAGGTTTACAGACAACCGCTGGACTAGAGCCATTACTGATTGGATTCCACGAGACATCAAAAGATCACGTGGACGCCCACCTATAAGATGGTCAGACTTCTTCGTCAAGACCCTAAATGATCGGTTTGAGGCTCTGAATGTTCCTAAAACGAACAGATACCATTGGGCTACGCTAGCACGCAACCGGGATGAATGGAGACGTTACTGGCACCCGCTCGAATAAATCGATGAATAATGGGGATTAAGTGATTAAGTGGTTAAGTGATGGCCTAGGGTCAGAGCGATAGTACAGCAGGTAGGGCATTTGCCTTGCACACAGTCGACGCAGGTTCGATCCCTGGCATCCCATATGGTACCCCCAGCACCGCCAGGAGTAATTCCTGAGTGCAGAGCCAGGAGTAACCCCTGAGCATCACTGGGTGTGACCCAAAAACCAAAAAAAAAAAAAGAGTATGTATGGCCTACAAGGGCAGTTGAATCTTTCAGTTTGAAAAAAATTAATAAGTTAATGTCACTGGCTTAGATTTGCTTTTTGGGTAAGTTTTTTTTTAAAAACTTTTGATAATGAATTTGACTGTACATGTATAGATGTGTTGTCAGACAAGAGTGTCCATAAGGGAGCATGTTTTTCCTCCCATTTTGGGCCACGCCTAGCAGTGCTCGGGCCCAGGCAGTGCCAGGAATCAAACTTGCTCCTGCATGAAAGCATGCTTTAGCCCTTTGAGCAACTTCAGAAGGCCTGGGCAATACAATTTTTGTTTCTTTGTTTTCGTTTGGGCGCCATGCCTGACTGTGCTCAAGGCTTTGTGTCCAGGGCTCACTTCTGGTGGTACTTGGGGGACCAAATGTGATGCCAGGGGTCCGAACCTGGTCCACTGTGTGCAGCCTTAACCTCTTGTTCTAGCTCTCTGACCCCTGAGCAATACAGTCTTTTTTTTTTTTTTTTCAGTAAAACACCATGAGGTACGGTTGTAGACTTAAAAACTTTCATGCTTGGGTTTCAGTTATACAATAATCAAGTATCCATCCCTCCACCAGTGTCCATTCTCAACCACCAATGATCCCAGTAACCCCTCCCCCCCACCTCATCCCACCTCTGTGGCAAGGCATTCCCTTTGGGCAATACAGTTTTTGTTTTTTTTTTAAAGATTGGTTGCATCTTTATTTATTTATTTATTTATTTATTTTTATTAGTGAGACATATGAGGTACAGTTGTAGACTTACAAATTTTTGTGCTTGGGTTTTAATTATACAATGATCAAATGCCCATCCCTCCACCAGTGCCCATTTCCCACCACCACGGATCCCAGTATCTCTCCCACCCACCATCCCCCCCATCCCACCCTGCCTCTGTGGCAGGGCTTTCCCTTTTGTTCTCTCTCTCTTATTGGGTGCTGTGGTTTGCAAAAGAGGCATTGAGTGGCAATCATGTTTGGTCTATAGTCTACTTTCAGCATGTTTCTCCCATCCTAGGAGGGTCCTCCCAGCAGCCTTTGTTTGGTGCTCCCTTCTCTATCTGAGCTCCCTTTTCCCCTAGCATGTGTGGTTGGCCTCCAAGCCATGGAGCAAAATTCCTGGTCATTATCACTAATCTGGGCCATTCTTGGGTGTTAGTCTCCTATTTTGTTACTTTATGTTCCTCAGATGAATGCAATCTTTCTATGTCTATCCCTTTCTTTCTGAGTCATTTCGCTTAACATGATACTTTCCAGTGTAGTACCACTTGTATGTAAATTTCATGACTTCCTCTTTTCTAATAGCTACATAGTACTCCATTGTGTAAATGTACCAAAATTTCTTTAACCAGTCATCTGCTCTTGGGCACTCAGGTTTTTTCCAGATTCTGGCTATTGTAAAGAGTGCTGCAATGAACAAACAATTGCAGATGTCACTTCAACTATACTTTTTTGGTCAATACAGTTTTTTGTTTTTTTTTTTTTTTTTTTTTGCTTTTTGGGTCACACCCAGCGATGCTCAGGGGTTACTCCTGGCTCTGCACTCAGGGATTACTCCTGGCAGTGCTTGGGGGACCATATGGGATGCTGGGAATCGAACCGGGTCAGCCGCGTGCAAGGCAAGCACCCTGTCCACTATGCTATCACTACAGACAACCCTGGGCAATAGAGTCTTAATGAGAGGTTCCAGTCGCCACTGGTTTAATGTTTCTCTTTGGTTTTTAAGGAAAGGAACTCACAAGACTTAATTTGATCAGTTAATTTATAGAATGACAAACCACTGAACCTGTTGTTAGGGGAACTTTTTCTTTTTACCAAATTTCTAGATGATTAAAACCCACCCCCTTCCCTTCCCTCCCCTCCCGTTTTTGTTGTTGCAAAGAGCTGGGGTTGCACATTTTTTGCTGCGCTCTCTAGTGATCTGTGATCTGTTCTGTGAAGGACCCTGGTGCCGGGGATGAAAAAGGCTCAGCCGCAGGCATGCAGGGCAGGGGCTCTGCCTCTGAGCTGAGCTGCCCTCAGGACCCTGGTCTTGTGCAAATACCGTTTTGCAAATAAGTCACTGTCCAGCGCCCGCTGTTTCATTAGGTCCTCGTTAGCCTGCACCTTCCCAGGGAACCATCCCCCATGGCCAGTGGCTGGGTGCATCTTCAATGTCTCATCCCATCGCTGTTGTGTTTTTTAGAGCCCGTCTTTGTTTTCATTTCCAGACAGGGTTCACCTCCACAAAGCTCAAAGGCAGTTGTCATGAGCCCATTTCTAGACGTACCAGCTAGAAACCATTTTTGTCTGCCCTGCCTCCTGCCTTGGGGGTCATTCGTTGCCGATCGTCACTCACGTCACTTGTGAAACGCTCACTTCACTTTGTGAGCATTTCAGCATCTTGGATCCAGACTTTTTCTTTTTCTTTTTTTGTAGGTCTCTTGTCTTTTCAGTTTGGAGTGGCTTACTTCTTTGCGTGAAGGTTTTTTCTTTTCTTCTCCCTCTCCTCTCCCTCCTCCTCTCCCTCTCTTCCCTCCTTGGTTTTTGGGACACGTCTGAAGCTCGGGGGCGCCCTAGGGGTGCGGTGGATTGAACCCCTGGTCGGCTGCATGTAAGGTTAGGACCTTACCTGCTGTACTCTGGCTCCATACTTAACTTTTCTTTGGAAATAAAGCAGTGGGCTCCTTCCTAAGTGGGCTGTGTTTTGCAAGGGCGTGTTGAGCTGTGGCCCTTACAACCACCCCCTCCCTGATTTCTAGCCCCATGGGATTGATCCCTGACAAGCCCACCTGTGTGGCTTGGCCTGTGTGGCTGTGAGCCTTGGGTCCTTTCAGGAGGTGGTCTACAAACCTTTTACGGGTGCACAGCTAAGTTATCTTTAGTTGTGTTTACCTTGAACAATAAGCAGCTCATCATTTCACCACCAAAGTGGGTTTATTTGTGGGGCTGAAGAGATAGTATGGTGGTAGGGCACTTGTCTTACACATGGTCCACCCAGGTTCAATCCCCAACACCACGTATTGTTTCCCTGAGCTGCATCAGGAGTGATCCCCGAGTGCAGAGCTGGGAGTAAGTCCCAAGCACTGCTGGCTGTGGCCCAAGAACCAAAGGGGGAAAAAATCCCCAACCCTTTCAAAACAAACCCCAACCCCCACAATAAAACAAATGAGTTTATTGGGAAATGCAACAGAAAGCTTTGGAAAATGCAGTCTCATGGCAATACATGTGCTTCCTCAGGTTTGAAACCTGCACCCATTTTTTTTCTTTTTTTAAAAAAATTTTTATTAGTGAAACACCATGAGGTACAGTTGTAGACTTAACACATTTTTGTGCTTGGGTTTCAGTTATACAGTGATCGAAGACCCATCCCTCCACCAGTGCCCATCCTCCACCACCATGGATCCCAGTATCCTTCCCATCCCCATCCCCCCCCCCCCACCCTGCCTCTGTGGCAGGGCATTCCCCTCTGTTCTCTCTCTCCTTTTGGGTGCTGAGGTTTGCAAACGAGGCATTGGGTGGCAATCATGTTCAATCTATAGTCTACTTTCAGCATGCATCTCCCATCCTGGGTGTGTCTTCCCAGCACCCTTTATTTAGTGCTCCCTTCTCTATCTGAGCTGCCTTTACCCCTAGCATGTGCGGCTGGCCTCCAAGGCATGGAGTAAACCTCCTAGTACTTATCTTGGCTATTCTTGGGTGTTAGTCTCCTATTTTGTTACTTTATGTTCCCAAGATGAATGCAATCTTTCTATGTCTATTCCTCTCTTTCTGACTCATTTTGCTTAGCATGATACTTTCCGTGTAGTGCCACTTGTATGTAAATTTCATGACTTCATCTTTTATAACAGTTACATAGTACTCCTTTGAGTAGATGTACCAAAGTTTCTTTAACCAGTCAACTGTTCTCGTGCACTCAGTTTTTTTCCAGATTCTGGCTATTGTAAACAGTGCTGCAATGAACAAACAAGGGAACCTGCACCCATTTCTAAAGTCTCTGGAGGGGGCTTTTGCAGGTTATTGAGAAGCCCGTTGGTGCAAAGATGGGAAGCAGTGATTTCCCATCATCTCAAGTGCAAGTCCCGTTGGATTGAATTGGATGCTCTTCCTTACCTGAGACCGCGCTCCTTGTCTCCTGATGTCCTGTGAATTTTTACTTTTCTTTAGTGGGGGCAGGAATCGAACCGGGGACCTCACATAGGCACCTCAAATACCTTACTGCCGAGCCCCAATCCTGTACTCACTGAGGCGGCTTTCTGTGTCTTGATTTTCACGGCTGAGAGTCTTCATTGCTTTTAGGCTGGAGTGGACAATTTGCATGCACTAGGCAGGAGTATAGATGGTGCACTCCCACATAGGAATGGCCCGAGCACCCTTGGGTATGGCCCATCCGTGATCCCCCAAGTATGTGGATGATGTTCATGAGACAACTGTCGGGTCAGAAGCAACCACTTCATCCTCCCTCATCAAATTGCCCTTTTTATTCCCTGAACTCACACAGAGAGCTGTGTATTCTATATTAAAATGGTCTTGTTTTATTTCTTCTAGGTCCTGTTAGAAATGCAGAAGGAATTATTAGAGTACAGAGGAACTGGAATTAGCGTTCTTGGTAAGATTTGCTTTTGGATCCTGTGAATGACTAGGTTTAAAGGAACATCTTTTCTGGGTGGGGGCGGGGCACACCCAGTGTTGCTGGAGAAGACAGTTGATCTGCTCTTGCCCAGTACTTGCAGTCTGCTTCTGTTTTGGGGATTCACCAGGGTTCCTGCATGCAGAGGTTACACTATAGTCTCTGGGCCACCTCCCCAGTTCCTCAAAGGGACTGATTGTTGTCATGTTTGGCACCCAAGGCCAGCCTATCTTGTATAGGCCTCTAGAATGTCAGGAACATTATTATCAGATGCATGCTTCACATAGAAGAATGTACTGCACTGTACTGTACTGTGCTCCCGTTTTTTTTATCGAGTTGCTCAAGCGGGCCCAGTAATGTCTCCGTTGTGAGACTTGTTACTGTGTTTGGCATATCAAATATGTCATGGGCAGCTTGCCAGGCTTTGCTTGCCTGTGGACGAGATACTCTTGGTAGCTTGCCGGGCTCTCTGAGCTGGGTGGAGGAATTGAACTTGGGTCAGCCGGTTGGCTGCGTGCAAGGCAAACGCCCTACCTGCTGCATTTTTGTTTGTTTGCTCGAATCGGAGCTGGCCCTCCTCCACCCAGAAACCCCAATTTTCCAGTAGCTTGGCAGTTATAGACACTAACTGCTCCTGGCACCATGTAATCTCATCAACAGCCAAGATCTAGAGGCTATAAAACAAAGCTCTACTGATGTACCTCCACTCAGAGTGCCCGGCAAGGTACCGAGAGTATCCCGGCCGCACAGCAGAGCCTGGCAAGCTACCCATGGCATAATCGATATGCCAAAAACAGTAACAATAAAGGACCTCATTCTCCTGACCCTGAAAGAGCCCCCAATACGCTATTGGGCTATGCTAGCATTTGACAGGGACGAATGAAGTCATTACTGGTGCTGGCTCAAGCAAATCAATGATTAATGGGATGACAAGTGACAGGTGACAAGTTGGGGCCACACCCAGTGGTTTTCAGGGGGTTACTCCTGGTTCTGCGCTCAGGAATCACTCCTGACGGTGCTTCTGGAACCAGATGGGATGCTGGGAATCAAACTTGGGCCAGCTAGGAGAAAGGCAAGTGTTCTACTCACCATATGGCATCTCTGGCCCCCGTGGAAGCAATTTTGAAACCAGCATAAATGCTGTGGAAGGCTTCCTGCTACTCAGTTTACTGGCTCTTCATTGATTTTGGCTCTTCAGAAACCTTGAAATCTGCATAGCCCTGGCCCAGGCATATAGCATTGCTTCACAGTCAATGGTCACTTTTTTCCTGTTATATCCAGGGACTTTCTGAAATGTAAAAAGCCTTCTGGGGAACGACAATACTTACATTAATTTTATGTCTTCCCTCTTGGGAAAAGAACTCTGAACCTGAAAATTCTCTTGATATCTTTTTCTCTCCCCACCCTTTTTTGTGGGGAGGAGATCTCCCAAAAAGTTCTCAGGGCATCTGCGGGCCTCTCTGGTGATTCTGCACCAACCAGACCTGTGGTTCAAGTGAAGGATGATCCAGGTCATCCTGGTGGCGCTTGGGGACCTCCAGGATTGTTTTTGACTATGTTTGGGGTGGACCTTGTGTTGCTAAAGGAAAGAGAGAGCGAAAGGGAATGCCCTGCCACAGGGGTGGGGTGGGGTGGGGTAGGGGGCTGGGAGGGCTACTGGGATCAGTGGTGGTGGAGAATGGGCACTGGGGGAGGGATGGGTACCCCAGTATTGGTTGTATGCCTTAGAGCCCTGTGCTATTACTCAGGCCCTCCACTCTTTAAATTTTTGTTTTTGAGCTACACACAGCTGTGCTCAGGGCTCACTTCTGGCTTTTACTCCAGGGATCACCTGGCAGATTTGGGGGATCATATGGGGTGCCAGGGATCAAGCCTGGGTCAGCCTCATGCAAGGCAAGCATCCTACCTGCTGTACTATTGCTCTGGCCCCAAAGAGCAGCTGAAGCCTCCCCATCAGGGAATTGAACCCTGTCTTCCGCGTGACAGTGGGCCACTCATCACTATACTAATGAGGATGGCCAGGCCCTCTTTTTCTTTTTTGGTAGTTCCAAAGGCTGCTGGGTATGAGACCAGAGGGTTTGCTGTGTTTGTTCCTGTGGGCTTGGGACTGGGCTGGGGTCATTGAACTGAGAGCAAGTGTGGAATTCTGGTTACCCTTGAGGCATCGATGGCCCTGATTCACAGGTGGGAGAAAGATGGGACAAGTCGGAGGCCGGAGGTGGGTCCATCACCGGCTTATTCAGTGAATGCACCATGTGAAAAGTTCTGTGGTGACTCTAGAGCGGCAGTGTTGAAAATCAGCCTGTTCCTGAAAGGACGTGAGCTTCGTCTAGAGCTCCACCGTGGAGGAAAATGTATTTATAATCTCAAAGGACGAGAAATATCCGTTATTTTGTAATACCATCTAAAGGTGCTTTGGTTCACTTAGTCTCAAACCTGAACGCGTTTCTTTATCTTTCCCTCCACAGAAATGAGCCACAGGTCATCAGATTTCGCCAAGATTATTAACAACACGGAGAATCTTGTGCGGGAATTGTTGTAAGTCTCAAGTACTAAAGATGAGTTATGATATGTTTAAGTGTGGATGATCCATGTGCCTGGTTAATCAGATCATTGAAATATTGTTATTTTTTAAATATGGAGACACTTTTTCCCATGTATTTTTGGTTCACAGTAGTATGGGACTCCAGGGTTTTACCTTACAGCTCTGTAAGTGTGTAATTGTCTCACAATCACTGATGTTTCTTGGTACCCTGAAAGCTTTTCTTCTTCCTCTCATTTCCCTTCCTCTTTCCCTCCAGAACCACTAAAATTTTCAGAAAGGTTAGAAGTTATTTTGATTTTTACCAGTTTATTTGTTTTCGTAACATGTTCTATCTTCTGATATTGTTTTACCTTTTTTTGAGGGGGTGGGGTCACACCCGGCCATGCACGGGGTTACTCCTGGCTCATGCACTCAGGAATTATTCCTGGAGGTGCTCAGGGGACCATGTGGGATGCTGGAAATCGAACCCAGGTCAGCCGCATGCAAGGCAAATGCCCAACCCGCTGTGCTATCGCTCCAGCCCCATATTGTTTTACCTCGAAAGGAGAGATTTTAACTATTTTATAGAGTCACGTATTCACATGGAATATTGGAAGCAAAACATTTGCTTACCTGCTCACAAAGAACTGTGTTTTCCTGGTAGTAGCACTGTAGCACTGTCCTCCTGTTGTTCATCGATTTGCTCAAGCGGGCCCAGTAACGTCTCCATTGTGAGACTTGTTGTGACTGTGTTTGGCATATCGAATACGACATGAGGAGCTTGCCAGGTTTTGCCGTGAGGGCGAGATACGCTTGGTAGCTTGCCGGGCTCTCCTGGTAGTGAGTTTAGAAAAAGCAAAGTGGATTTGTGTCTAACCCTCACCAGGCAGGAGTAAGCAGCGTTAACATCCTAGGGGCCATCCTTGCGTAACTGCATTCAGAAAACTGGAATTGTACTGATCGTTTTGCTTCAAATTGTTGCCTAGGGCCCGAGAAATAGTACAGTGGGGCAATGTGCAGTGCACGTAAGTCGCAGGCAACTCAGGTTTGACCCCTGACACCACATTGAGTCCCCTAGGTCCCACCAGAAGTGAGAACCTGAGCATACTAAGGCATGACCCTAAAGCTAAAACAAACAATGACATTATTACCAGTGATAAAATCCTCACTGGATGAGGCAGGCTTGGTGACAACTCTTTGGAGAGCGGAAGCCCATTGTGGTTCGAGAGTGCACAGAATGAGTCTCAGTTATAAACCTTTATATTTTGGGGGCTGGAGCGATAGCACAGTGGTAGGGCGGTTGCCTTGCAGGCGACCGGCCTGGCTGACCCAGGTTCGATTCTTCCACTCCTCTCGGAGAGCCCGGCAAGCTACTGAGAGTATCTTGCCCACATAGTTAAGCCTGGCAAGCTAACCGTGAGGTATTCGATATGCCAAACACAGTAACAGCAAGTCTCATGATGGAGAAATAACTGGGCCCACTTGAGCAAATCAATGAACAATGGGAGGACAGTGCTACTGTGTAGTGCTATATTTTTTTGGGGGGAGGGGTGGATATTTAACAGTGCTCAGGACTTCCTCCTTGCTCTGCACTCAGGGATCACTCCTGGTAGTGCTCGGGCGGGGGGGGGGGCGGGGTCGGGAGCATACAAGGCAAGCATCCTACTGGCGATACTATCACTGCAGTCCGTGAATGATGAATTCTGCAGTGTCCTGGTCCCTGTGAGTTTACAGGGCCACCCTAGCCTTCGAGAGAAATGTTGGTCCGTTTGTGCATTGAATCCACATGACTGTGCGCTTCTAAGTCATTGAATTGGGCATTCCCGGTTCAGCTTCCTTCTTCTAACCAAGTTTCTTACTTGCATCCCTGCATCCAGGCCTCTCCTCCTGGGACCTGCCACACAGACAGCAGCCCTAGTGCCGGCTGTGGTGGGGTTGTGTCCTGGTGGGCCCCTGACCCACCAGGTTTGTGTGCACTGCTCCCCTGCAGAGCTTAGCAGCCAGCAGAGACAGGTCACATTAGCTTGGCCCCAGGACCCTCTCTCAGTGCTCTGCCCTTGGCACCTTCTCTCTGTCCCTGTCCCGGACACTCTGACAGCTTCTTGCTCCCCCAGAGGCCTACGTCCAGTTGACTGTCTCTGGAACTGGTCTTTCCTGCTGCTGGGGGCCATTCCAGCCATTCTCTTCACTTCCCATGAAGGAGTCGAATCCTTTCGCTCTTAATTTCTGCCACAACGAGGAGATGATGCTTCAGTGAGGCCTGGGGCATTAACAGACGATCCTTGTGCGTTGGTTCCGAGTACGTCCATGCACATAGGACTTGATGTTGCCCTGACACAGATCAGGCTCTGGGAATGTATTGCCTCACTCAGACGAGTGCAGAGGGCCACACGGGCCAGGGAGCCGCCCACCCTAGTCGCATTGCCCCCGTGTGACTGTGTCTGGTGGCCCCTGGTGCTTGGTTTCCTCAGCGTCTTTCTTTTGCTTTTTCTGCATCTTTCTGCATTGCTCTTACCCTTGGTGTATGTGTGTGTATGTGTGTGTGTGTGTGTGTGTGTGTGTGTGCGCACGCGTCTGCAGCAGAGGCCACTGGACTGAGAGCGGGCCCCTAATGATTCCCTTGTTGATGACAAGAGATCCAGAATTCTCATCCAGACAGTCCTGATAAACAGCTGCCTGGAAATGAGGAGATAAGTCATTGAATTGGGCTTAACCAAGACATTAATGTTTTATTGTTATTTTTTATTATTGCTTAAATTTTCTTTGGGCACTGTGATTTGCAGTACTGTCAGTGACAGTGTTCCTGCCTCTGTGGCCACACCGCCCCTCCCACAGCCCAGTGCCCTTTCCCTTTGCCATTGTCTCCGGGACCACCTGGACCACACTCCTCTTTTCTCCCTTCCTCTCTCCTTTCTCATCCCCTCCCACCTTCCCTCCCTTTCCTCCTCTTTATAACATCAGGCTACGCCTCTGGCTCTGTGCTTCAGGGACCACTCCTGGCAGTGCTTGAGGAACCGACTATGCTACCCGGGATCAAACCTGGGTTAGCTGTGTGCAGGGCCGGCATCCTACCTGCTGTACATCTCTCTGCCCCAACCACATTTTTTTTTTTTGGCTTTTTGGGTGATACCTGGTGATGCACAGGGGTTGCTCCTGGCTCTGCACTCAGGAGTTACTCCTGGTGGTAGCTCAGGGGACCATATGGGATGCTGGGAATCGAACTCAGGTCGGCTGCGTACAAGGCAAACGCTCTACCCGCTGTGCTAATACTCCAGCCCCGCAACCACATTTCTTACAGCATATTTATCATATTGGTCTCTATATAATGTGCACATATATGTATAATGTATACTGATATATGTATATAGGTATACATATGTGTACATATAGAATATACTAGCGTATACATATTATGTGTGTGTGTATGTAAGTATAGGATACACTGGTATATACATGTTGTGCTTGTACGTATACATGTAGGATACACTGGTATATACGTATCGGATTTTGTGTGTATGTACCTGTAGGGTACACTGTTATATTCATACATGTGTTTGGGTATATGCATATTGGTTGGGTAGTCACTGGGAGAGAATCTGTGACCCTCTGTGCTTACCGTCACCTGTGCTTTGACCCAGAGCTGTTCCTGACAACTACAAGGTGATTTTTGTACAAGGAGGTGGCACCGGCCAGTTTAGTGCTGTCCCTCTGAACCTGATTGGGCTGAAACCTGGACGGTGTGCCGACTATGTGGTGACAGGGGCTTGGTCCGCAAAGGCTGCCGAAGAAGCCAAGAAGTTTGGGACTGTGAACATTGTCTACCCCAAGGTTGGCAGTTACACAAGTAAGTGCTGAGAGCTGTAGCGTGCTTGTCTTATACACACCCAACCTGGGTTGGATCCCTGGCATCCATGTGGTCCCCTGAACGCCACCAGGAGTGATCCCTGAGGGCAGAGCAAAGAGTAAACCCTGAGCATCACCAGAAAAAAAAAAACTAAGAAACAGAAAAAAAAAATCCTACAAGTTCTGGGGCAATGCTAGACAGTGAGATGCGGGTGGGGGTTGGTCCCTCAGAACCTGAGGAATCTGTAGGCGTTCTAGTTCTTTCTTCTCCTTCAGAGTTGTCAGTAGACACCCCCACTAGTCAGGACTGCTAGCAGGCTGCTGTAGAAAGTACACAGAAGCTCAGCTCATATATTCGTAAACAAAATTTAAACTGCAGCTTAGCTGAGCCTGAATAGCCCAGGGTGGGTGTAAGCCCTAGGTATGTGTCAGCTCTTCCCATGGTGTTACCTCACAGTGTTGTCTAGCCCCGGGTCAGCTCCCCCGATGGATGGCCCCGGGTCAGTCCCGACAGTCTTATCTAACCCTGGGTCAGCTCCTGTGGCAGTGTTGTGTCTAGTCCAGGGTCCCTGTGTCTTTCTGGGTGATTTCAAGGTCTCGGCTACTCCACCTGCCGCTACTCCTGACCTCCTCCCCTTTTCTAGTCCCTCTGCTCAAGCACGTCCACCTGTCTCCGGTCCTGTCCCCCGTGGCCCTTTGTGGACCAGTCCTGAGCTGTGCCTGAGTTGAATGCTACTGCCTGGACTCTGCTGGAGCCCCGTGGGCTGAGGGTGGGGCAGTCCTGGAAGCCAGAAGGAGACTCTGAAATGGTCTAGGAAGTAGCCTGCCTGGATTCCAGCTGATAACCCAGTCCAGTGAAACCACCGTGCCCCCTTATTTTGTTTGAACATAGATCCTGGGATTTATAATGTTAGCAATTGTGTTTCAGATGTGCAGTATTCTGGGCTCTGTTCTCACCGTCCTGTGACCCCCCCACCCCCGACCTCTCCACCAATGACCCCAGGTTCTCTCGTTCTCCCCACTTGACAGTTTCAGGGTTAATTATTGTACTTTGGGTCCCCTGGTTTCAGTGGTGTTGGGTGTGGTGGTGAAATAAATACAGATACTTTGTCTCTCCACCCAGATGAGCTCAAGAGCCCTGATTCTTGCCCCTGTTACGTCCAGACCAGCTCTTGCCAATCCTGCCCCTCATTTCTCTCCTTTCCTGGCCTTTCCTTCTCAGGCTGAGGGCTTCCCTACCTCTGATACCTTCCGGTCCTTACACATACTACTCTAAATTCCGCAGGTTAGAGAGGGCATCTGTATTTGTTGTTGTCCTAACCTCACTTAACGTGAGACCCTCCAGTTCCATCCAGGTAGCAGTGAATTTCATGACTTTGTCGATCCGTTATGATTTCATTGTGGTAAGGACCAGCATGGAAACGCAAGTGTCAAAATCCAGACTTTGGGGAATAAGCTGGTTCCCTCTAATGAAGAGACCTATCAAGCCATTGTGATATGTACACCTTATTTACATCCTCATTCAAATAAGAACACTGTAAAAAAAAGACATTTTTGAGACTAGAAATGTGATATCTATAGATCTGATACTAAGGAATACTACTAACACTAATACTACTATTACTAATAATTTAGTGCTTGAGGTCACACTTGACAGCATTTAGGGGCTCCTTCTGGCTCTGTGTGCAGAGGTCACTACTGGATGGCGGTCCCAGGGGGCCATATGTGGTATCTGGTAGCAAATTGGGGTTGGCTGCATGCAAGGCAAGAGACTTAACCCCTCTAACTATCTCTCCAACCTGACATTAAAGAAGGGCTGGAGCGATAGCACAGTGGGTAGGGTGTTTGCCTTGCATGCGGCAGACCCGGCCGACTCAGGTTTGATTCCTCCACCCCTCTCAGAGAGCCCAGCAAGCTATTGAGAGTATCTCGCCTGCACGGCAAAGCCTGGCAAGCTACCCGTGATGTATTCGGCATGCCAAACACAGTAACAACAAGTCTCATGATGGGCCCACTTGAGCAAATCGATGAACAACAAGTGCTACAGTAGCAGTGTTATGATTTCTTTGTTCCCTGTGGCCGCGTAGTACTCATCTCATCGTGTATCTGGACTACAGCCTCGTTATCCACTTACCTGTCACTGAATGATGTTGATTCCACAGTGTGGCTCTTGTCCTAAGCACTGCAGTGAACAGGAAACGGAATCTGTCTTTGAATGAATGTCCTTGTGACTTGGGGGTAGGCACCAAGAAGTGGAGTTGTTGGGTCCTTTGGGAGCTACGCCATTCGTAAAAAGATGGGTCATTCCTGCGAAAGTCTAAAGGGTGGCTAGTGTAAGGGTGGACGGGGCATGTGGCTCGTGAAAACTATGGACTCAGTCTTACCCTGCTTGGGGAGGTGTGCCACTCCCTTGTCTCAATGCAGGATGGGAATAAAAACGTCTCCCCTTGTCTTCTGTGGTAGAGATCCCAGATCCGAGCACCTGGAACCTCAGTGCAGATGCCTCCTATGTGTATTACTGCGCCAATGAGACTGTGCATGGAGTGGAGTTTGACTTCATCCCCGACGTCAAGGGAACGGAGCTGGTGTGTGACATGTCCTCCAACTTCCTCTCCAAGCCTGTGGATGTCTCCAAGGTACAAGCCTCGGGGCTGGGGGGGGGGGCGGGGGGGGGGGTCGGACCTAGTGTCTCAACTTCCTTCAAGGCATTTTAATATGCCATAGAAGTGCCAGCCCATGGGGACAGTTAATCCTCAGGGCTTGGTGGAATGCTTGGTGCTGATATTCTGGGTGTCCTGTTAATGATCAACTCAGAGGGTTTCCTGTTCAGGCGCATCGACCCACCTTTAGCTCTTACAGAGCTGTTTTGGCTGACACATCGGGGGTCAGCAGCTTGCCCTTTTCATGGTTATCTTGGTTATGCAAGCTCAGGGCTGGAAGCCCACCTGCCACTGCATTCAGAGACACTGCAGCCCCGGGATGGGCATGTGGTCCATGGGGGCACTCTATCTGTAAGACATTCTTTTTTTTTTTTTTTTATTAATTTTTATTAGTGAAACACCATGAGGTACAGTTGTAAACTTAGAAATTTTTGTGCTTGGGTTTCAATTATACAATGATCAAATACCCATCCCTCCACTGGTGCCCATTTCCCACCACCACGGATCCCAGTATCCCTCCCACCCACCATCCCCCCCATCCCACCCTGCCTCTGTGGCAGGGCATTCCCTTTTGTTCTCTCTCTCCTTTTGGGTGGTGTGTTTTGCAAAAGAGGAATTGAGTGGCAATCATGTTGGGTCTATAGACTACTTTCAGCATGCGTCTCCTGTCCTGGGAGGATCCTCCCAACACCCTTTATTTGGTGCTCCCTTCTCTATCTGAGCTGCCTTTTCCCCCAACATGTGTGGCTGGCCTCCAAACCATGGAGCAAACCTCCTGGTACTAATCTCAGCTACTCTTGGGTGTTAGTCTCCTATTTTGTTACTTTATGTTCCCCAGATGAATGCAATCTTTCTATATCTGTCCCTTTCTTTCTGACTCATTTCGCTTAACATGATACTTTCCATGTAGTACCACTTGTATGTAAATTTCATGACTTCATCTTTTCTAACAGCTACATAGTACTCCATTGTGTAGATGTACCAAAGTTTCTTTAAGACATCCTGATGTGCTGATTGGATGGTCGTTTTGCTTTCCAGCACAGCACAGGACATAGAATGTATTTTAACCTTTTCCTTTGGTTTTGTTTTTTTGTGCCACAGTCAGTTCTCACAGCTTACTCTTGGTTCTGTACTCAGGGGACCATTTGGGGTCAGATTGAACCCAGGTCAGGGGCATGCAAAGTAAGTGACTTAATACTGCCTCTGATCTGGAGCAAAATCTTTCTACTGATGGACTTGGGTAAGCCCTTGCTGATGAGAGCAGTCTGGCTACCTGAGCTACAACCCTCCAGCCTCTGAATTCTCAAAAAATCTGGGCTGGAGCAATAGCACAGTGGGTAGGGCGTTTGCCTTGCACGCGGCCGACCCGGGTTTGATTCCCAGCATCCCATTTGGTTCCCTGAGCACCTCCAGGAGTGATTCCTGAGTGCATGAACCAAGAGTAACCCCTATGCATCGCCAGGTGTGACCCAAAAAGCAAAAAAAAAAAATCTAAAGGACCGATTTGCTACTCTCTGAGCAGAATTATAACATATGCAGAATGGGCATACAAGGAGTCATTTTGCTGTAAAAACTACTTTGGAGAGAATTTGGGAGGGTGACAGCGTCTCCACCCATGGCAGTTCTCAGATGGCATGTTTTTCTTTCTTGCAGTTCGGGGTGATTTTCGCCGGTGCCCAGAAGAACATTGGCTCAGCAGGGGTCACAGTGGTGATTGTCCGCGAGGACCTCCTAGGGTTCGCCCTCCAGGAATGCCCATCTGTCCTAGAGTACCGAGTGCAGGCTGGAAACGGCTCCTTGTACAACACCCCTCCCTGCTTCAGGTAGTGTGGGCTTTAGCTTGGGGGACTTGGTGGGGGGCGGGGTGCCCACTGTTGCCATCAAAGCAGAGGTACCTTTTCATTTTTTGGCTTTGCGACCACACCCAGTGGTGCTCAGGGTTCTGAGGTTCTGCACTCAGGGTGGACTTGAGGAATCATATGGGATACCAGAGATCCAACACACTGCAGTGTGCAAGGCAAGTGCTTTAATACGCTGTACGATCTTTCCAGCCCATTCTATATTCTTGTGATTCCCCGCTTCCCTGCTAAAGAGTTTAAAAAAAAATAGGTCTCTGTAGCTGAGCAGTAATCCTCCATCTGTGGCTTGAAAAACTTGAGTTCATTTGCAGTACACAAACACAACTAGGTCAGAAACTAGTAGCAGAGACCATTTCCAAACAGACACGGGCTCCCAGCAAACAGCCTATATGTCACCCCCCATCACTGGGGGCACAGCCAAGACTTCCTGCTTTGTTTCCCCTCAGAAGCTTGGGCAGAAGTCCCAGGGTTGAAAAAAAAAAACGTTTTTCTTTTGAGCTGAGCTGAGTGAGCACAGACTGGGGAGCTTGTTTGCACTGTGAGGGTAACTGGCTTCCGAGAGCACTGTAGTCCAGAGCAGTGCATCGAGCTGAAGTAATGGGCGGGTGGGCCTTTGGCTTAACCGTTTTGAGAACAGGCCAGGTTAGTTAGTGAGGACGCAGAAAGAAGCGGAAAGTTACGGCTTCCTTCCGACCTCGCCGTCTACCAACCTTTCAGCAGAAACCTGTTTTAGCGGTAGTGGACAGTAAAGTAACGAATACCAAAGAAAATAGCCTCCCCGACCCAGGCCGGTTTCCATCAAACTGGGAACCTGGGTCCCCCTACTGGATGCGGGGATGCCTGAGCCCTAGAACCCAGGGGCGGTACCCAGAAGAACGTCAGCTCAGCACGGGTTGCTCAGTGCGGGTCATGGTGGTGTAAGGAATCAGCTGTGCGTTCCTAGGATTTTCCTTGGGGCAGGGCCTGGCTGGGCTGCCTTTCACCAGTGTCTGGCAGAATTGTGCCACTGCATCGACTCTAGTGGCTCATCTGTAGAGTTGGAATTTTTTTTTCCCTTTATTTTATTTTATTTTTTTTAAAGTTGTAGATTTACAATTTTTTGTGCTTTGGTTTCAATTATACAATGATCAGATACCCATCCCTCCACCAGTGCCCATTTTCCACCACCATGGATAATATCCCTCCCACCCCCATCCCCCCATCCCCCCTGTCTCTGTGGCAGGGCAATCCCCTGTGTTCTCTCTCTCCTTTTGGGTGTTGTGGTCTGCAAAAGAGGCATTGAGTGGCAAACATGTTCAGTCCATAGTCTACTTTCGACATGCATCTCCCCTCCTGGGAGGATCCTCCAAACATCCTTTATTTGGTGCTCCCTTCTCTATCTGAACTGCCCTTTCCTCTAGGATACCCGGCTGGCCTCTAAGTTATGGAGTAATCCTCCTGGTGCTGATCTCAGCTATTCTTGGGTATTAAGAATATACCCAATTGTTACTTTATATACCCCAGATGAATGCAATCTTTCTATGTCTATCCCTCTCTTTCTGACTCATTTCGCTTAGCATGATACTTTCCATATTGTACCACTTGTATGTAAATTTCATGACTTCATCTTTTCTAAGAGCTACATAGTACTCCATTGTGTAGATGTACCAAAGTTTCTTTAACCAGTCATCTGTTCTTGGGCATTCAGGTTTCTTCCAGTTTCTGGCTATTGTAAAGAGTGCTGCAATGAACAAACAAGTGCAGATGTCACTTCGACTATACATTTTTGCCTCTCTGGGATATATTCCCAGGAGTGGTATTGCTGGGTCAAATGGGAGCTCAATTTCTAATTTTTTGAGAATCGTCCATACTGTTTTCCAGAAGGGCTGAACCAGTGGACATTCTCACCAACAGTGAAGGAGTGTCCCTTTCTCGCCACATCCACGCCAGCATCGGTTGCTTTTGTTCTTTTGAATGTGGGCCAGTCTCTGAGGTGTGACATGGAATCTCATTGTGGTTTTGATCTGCATCTCCCTGATGATTAATGATGTAGAGCATTTTCTCATGTGCTTTTTTGCCATTCGGATTTCTTCTTTGAGAAAGTTTCTGTTCATTTCATTGCCCCATTTTTGGATGGGGTTGGATGTTTTCTTCTTGTGGAGTTTAACCAGTATTCTGTATATCCTGGATATCAACCCCTTGTCAGATGTGTATTCGGTGAATATCCTTTCCCATTCTGTAGACTGTCTTTGTATTTTGGTCACTGTTTCTTTGGAGGTGCAGAAGCTTCTTAGTTTAAGATAGTCCCATTTATCTATCTCTGTTTTCACTTGCTCGGCCAGTGGCGTGGCATCTTTGAAGATACCATTAGCTTCAATATCATGGAGGGTTTTGCCATAGAGTTGGAATTTTTTTGAACAGCTAGGAAGAGTTTTCTGGAAACTCTCTTGCTTTTCTAGGCCCACGTGCACAGAGAGTCTTTGTTTTAGGAAAGTGGTGAAAGTAGCAAGGTCTTAGCTGTGACTTTTCATCTCTGCCATGGTGACCGCTGAGAGCTGTCAGGTACCCTAGATGGTGCCTCTGCGGGTACCAGAACCTCCACCAGAACCTCCAGTTAATGGTGGGAGCAGTTCACCACGCAGACACCTGTTAATTCCTTTCCCTGCACCCAGCAGGGAACAGTGCACATCACCACATCTACTCTGAGATTCCCTGCCCTTCCCTGGCTTTTGTTTAAATTCTTGCGTGGTTCATGGTGTGAATGTGTTGGCTTTATTTTATTTTTTGGCTTTTGGGCCACACTGGGTGCGCTCAGGGTTTTCTCCTGGCTCTGCTCTCAGGGATCATGCCTGGTGAGCTTGGGGTCTATATGGGGTTCTGGGGACGGATCCTGGATTTGTTCTCCTGTCGCCTCGCCCCATGAAGCTGAACTCAGTCATTTAACAGGCTGGCTTAGATGGAAATAGTGTATTTCATATGCGGCATTTTAGCAGGAAGTGCAAATAACAGTTCAGTGTTATGCTTAGTAGGGGGAAATGTGGACCAAGTCTCAGCGGTGCTAGCATCCTCCGACCCCTGTGTTTTGGGCTGGGAAGCTTTTGGATTGGGTGGCTGGGGCAAGAGTGAATGAATTGGAGTTTCAGGAGAGCCTCAGGGGCTGGGCATCCTTGCTCGCCAGAGCTGTCTCCTCTGCAGGACAGCCGCCTTCTCTCGGAACCTTCTCCACCTTGAGCCAGGGCTGCTGGCCCCTGTGGCACTCAGAGTGGAAGGCCGTCTGCACAGCCCACTCCTGAAAGCGTGGGTGCGAGCGCTGGACCCTGTAGCCCCGCAGAGGATGGGTTGCTGAGGAAGTTCATCTGGGACTGCGTGCCTTTGAATTTTCTTTTCTTTTCTTTTCTTTTCTTTTCTTTTCTTTTCTTTTCTTTTCTTTTCCCATAATTAACTCAGTTTATTTTCTTTGGATTAATGAAAGTTTTTAGATTGAGAGAAAAGCAATGGTCATACATTTTTGTTTTTTAATTGGTTCACTGGGCCCGCTCGAGCAAATTGATGAACAACGGGAGGACAGTGCTACTACTTACTACTACTACTGTGAGATACTCAGTTGTTCGTGATTGGGTTTCATTCATACTATGTTCCAACACCCGTCCCTTCACCAGAGTACATTTTCTACCATCAGTGTCCCCTGTTTCCCTCCTGCCTACCTCTATGGCAGGCACTTTTCTTCTCTCTCTCTCTCTCTCTCTCTCTCTCTCTCTCTCTCTCTCTCTCTCTCTCTCTTTCTCTTTCTCTCTCTCTCTCCTAATTTTGGGTATTACAGTTTGCAATATAGGTACTGAAAGGTTATCATGTGTGTCCTTTTACCTTCTTTCAGCACTCAGTTCTTGCCCAGATGATCATTTCCAACTGTCATTGTCATAGGGGTCCCTTCTGCTTCTCCGTCCTAACTGCCCTCCTTTCTCCCTGTGGGCGCCATTGCATTTGGTTAGAGAAGCAGCGGCTTGGCAACCCCGATATAATGGCTGCAAGTAACACGCCTCACTCAGCCCTGGAAAAAGTGGCCATGTGCAGACCTGAGCATGACTCTGCCTGGTGGGGCAGTGGTCAGCTGTGATCTGCTGGTGGCTGTTTTGGTTCCGGTGGGTGAGTCTGGAAGCATGTACGGCAGCTTTCTTGGTGTGCACACATGCACACACACACAGAACAAGTTGGCTGCATTGTGATCTACAATTTTGTTTCAGCAACACAAGCAGCAAATACCTAGCACAGTGGGTGAGGCACTTGCCTTGCATGCAGGTGATTAGGGTCCTAGGTCCTGCTCCCTAATCCGAGTCCCCCTGTGTCTCTCTCTGACATCATAGATGTCATCATCATCATCATCACCATCATCATTTTCACCCAGTGTTATCTCTCACTTGACTTTTCTCAGCAATGTAAATAACAACCTTTGCTTGAATGTCCTTAGTCCAGGCACTTGGGCGAGGCACCACTGAAGGGAATTTCTTCATGTGACCTGTTTGTGCCTCATTTTCCTTTTGTTCCTTTTAGCATCTACGTGATGGGCATGGTCCTGGAGTGGATTAAGAACAACGGGGGTGCGGCGGCCATGGAGAAGCTGAGCTCCATCAAATCACAAATGATCTATGATATTATCGACAACTCTCAAGGCTTCTACGTGTAAGTTCACAGGTTTTCTGTTGCATCTTGCCTCTCGTGAATGAGGAAAGGAGTGTTTGCCGTGGGAACCTTTGGAAAATGGAGGCTCTCTCCTTTCTCCTTTGATTGGAGAGGGCAGTGAACTGGGTGTTCCAGAGTTGGGGGGGGGGTTGTTTAGCTTCAGAGCCATGACTGTGCTCAGGGATGACTTGTGATGGGGCTTGGGGGACCGTATGGGATGCTGGGGATTGAGCACGGGTCAGCTGCATGAAAAGCAAGTGCCTTAACTGCTGGATCTCCATCCTAGGGCTTGTATTTGTTGTTTGGGGCTCCTGGCACAAAGTTTGAAGTCACAAACTAGGTGTTTTCAACCAACTGGGATTTATCCTTAGCTCTCTGAAGGGAGGACTTTTAAAATCAAGGTTTCAGCATGGCTCCTTTCTGGGAGGCCCAGCCTCTTCCGTTCTTTTGATTATTGGCTTCCCAGATGATGATGACATCAATATAATCCTCCTCAGTCTTTGTGGCACCTTCTCTAACAAGTAGCTTTTCTTTCCTTTCTTTTTTTTTTTTAAATTTATTGAATCACCGTGAGACCAGTTACAGAGTCTTTCAGTTTAAGTCTCGGTCGGTCATACAATGATGAAATACCTGTCCCTTCACTAGTACTCATTTTCCACCACCAAGAACCCCAGTATACCCCCCTCCCACCCATCCCCCACCTGTGTGGCAGACTTCCACTTTACTCTCTCTCGCTCTACGTTGATCACATTCAATATTACCACAAGAGATCCCACATTATTATTTGGAATTTTCCCCAACATTCAGACCTTCCAAAAAGACATCATTAGATAATTCGTTTTCTATTGCTGATAGTGAAGAGCATCCGATGTCATGTGGCCGCTATCACCCGAATTTGGATTTTTGGTATTTTAGCAATAAGCCTAGAGGGATTACTGCCTGCACATGGTCCCCTGAGCACCACCAGGGGTCGCTCCTGAGCACAGAGCCAGGAGTAGTTCCTGAGTTCCATCCGGAATCGAACCCGGGTCGGCCGTGTGCAAGGCAAATGCCCTACCCACTGTGCTATTGTTCCAGCCCCCTGTAGTATCTGTTTAAATGGATTACAGGTGCTTCACACTTCAGTTTTAAACATGCTGTCAATAAAACTTAATTCTTAGGTCTGGAGAGATAGTACAGCAGGTAAGGTGTTTGCTTGCACACAGCTGACCCACATTCAACTCCCAGCCTCCGATATGGTCCCCCAAGCCCATCAGGAGGGGTCCCTGAGTGCAGAGTCAGGAGTAAGCCCTCAGCATAGCTGGGTGTGCCTTTTCCGTGCAAAAAAAAAAAAAGCAATTCTTAAGTATATATGGATTTGTTTGCCCAGCCCCATTAAATGACTATGCATTTAAAATGTTTTGGTGAATTTTATTATCATATTACACTTTTTTAAGTTTTTTTGGGGGTTGGGGTCTGTGGTCTGTGGGGACCAGAGGGAGTGGGGGATGGGGTGGGGGCAGGAACTGGGCCACACCGGATGAGCAGATCACCTTCACACAAGCCGTGAGAGACATGTGGAGAGCGAGAGCTTAGAGGCCTAGTGCATGCTTTGATCGCTGACACTGCCTGGTCCCCCAAGCGCCTCTAGAAAGGGCTCCTTTTACTGTTGGCTGTTCCCATATCCCAGAAGGCACCATACTTAGTTGCATGGAAGTTTAAATTTTTCTACTACAGTTGAAGACATAAACAGGAAAAGAACTGACAGACACGAGAAAGCATCCAGGGTTTATAATATAATAAAATGCAGGTTAGTCTTGCTGTAGGCAAGTGCCCATAATTAGTGAGAATTCAGGTTACTATTGCTGTAAGCAAACCCCTCAAATTAGTGGAAAAGGGTCACCCAGTAAGAAATGGTGGCGGTGACATAGAATGATATGATTGGACTATGAACCTAATGTGATTGGAATGGCCAGGCTGCCCTGGTGAGAGTTCCATGTAGGAGAGGCTGGAGCTATAGATAACACAGCGGGTAGGGCATTTCCCTTGCACACAGCCGGGTTCGATTCCCAGCATCCCAGATGGTTTCCTGAGCACCACCAGGAATAATTTCTGAGTGCAGAGCCAGGAGTAACCCTTGCGCATCGCCAGGTATGACCCAAAAAGAAAAAAAAAAAGAGTTTCGTGTAAGAGGACAATTTTTGGAGTTTATGGGATATGGTGGGGGAGATTAGCCACGTGCTCAGAAAACCACACCTACTGCCAGTCTTACCTGTTGGAGGAGCCAGGCACGAGGCCATGTAGCGTCCATGACGGAGTCTGTTCCAAACTGCGGCCAGCTTGCTAGCCTGCAGGAAAAAAACTCCCTCAATGGCATCTCTTTCTGCTCCCGGCCTGTGCTCCTTACCCATGAGAAAACCACACCTGCCAATTGATCCCTGAGTACAGATCCCCTTGGAGTAAGGAGTAAGCCTTGAGTACAGCTGGGTTTGGTAAAAAAAAAAAAAAAAAAAAAAAAAAAAGAAGAAGAAAAGGATGATAAGTCTGACAGTGTTTCTTCTGTCCCTAATCCCAGAAAGAGGGACTACAGCTAGACCTGCTAATCATGCTTTTCTCCGTCCGTCAAACAACCCCACACCCAGCATCTGAACCTGCTGCCCTCCACCCCAGCCCCACGGGACCCTCCCTTGGAAACTCAGGTTCCTCCTCATGGATTTTTTTTTTCTTCAATTAAATGTGTGGGGTTTTTTTTTTTTTTTTTTTTTTTTTTTTGGTGTTCTGCCTCTGTAATTGGACCTTCATTTGGGGAGCCTGAGGCAGCGGAGTATCAAAAGAGAGTTGCTACTAAAATTTTAATTTAAATGTCAACTGTTAAATACAGCACCTTTTTAGAAAAAAAAAAGTGCAGGGGAATTCACTGGCTTTCCTTTCTTGCCTCTTGCCTGCAACTGTGCGGGGTCTCAAGTTAACTTTGACAGGTATTTTGTACCCTTGGGGAAGAGTATACCAGTAGGGAATTTTTTATGTGGCTTTTGTTTGCTATTTCATTTTAATGGGTCTCTCCTTGTAGACCCATTTTTTATGCTATATATATATATATATATATATATATATATATATATTTGCTTTTGGGGTCACACCCGGCGATGCACAGGGGTTACTGCTGGCTCTGCACTCAGTTACTCCTGGCGGTGCTCAGGGGACCATATAGGATGCTGGGAATCGAACCTGGGTCGGCTGCGTGCAAGGCAATTGCCCTACCCACTGTGCTATTGCTCCAGCCTCTATGCTATTTTTTTAAAATGCTATTTGGTTCTTGTATTAGAAGTTGAGAATACAGCAAGTAAAGAAATCCCATGGTGAATGAAACCATCACACAGATGCCTATTTGGAATCTAACCTTCTACGCTCCCCCAAAATGTGCTTTGTGGCTTCAGCAATTTATAAAGGGGTACGGGGAAATACTGAAAAAGGCCACTATTTTACTATTTTTTTGTTTACAGAAATAAAATAGGATGTGCTGAGAAAATAGAAGGTTATTATTACATATTTAACTATTCTTCCACCCCCGAGTAGCTAGTCAGCTCTTTTTCTGTGTTTCCCATTTGGTTGCCAGGGGGAAATAATTTTAACTGCTCTTTTATCCATATCAGAAAATCGGAATCCAATGCTGATGACTTTGCCTAGACATGAACTTAATTATTTTGGTATCTATGCAGAGATGGTGAGACTAAATGATATACTTTAAAATTTTTTTTTAATTAAAATTTATCTTAGGCACCATGGTTTAACAATATTGATAATGACAAAGTTTCGTGCAAAAGATGTCCCAACACCATCCCAACACCACCTGATCCACCAGAGTGTCACCTTCCCTCCCCCATGTCCCTGAGTCCTACCCTTAATCCTCTCCCCCTACAGTGCTAAAGACTCATTCTCAGTTTCTGATGCTTTTGAGCTTTTGTTGCTTCTTCATTTTGTGACTTTATGGTCACAAACGAGGGAGATCATTCTGCATCTCTCCCTCTCTTTCAAATGATGAACTTCTAAAAGTTCAACAATTGGACTGAAGCCATCCCCTGCACCGCATATGGTTTCCTGAGCCCTCCAAGAGTGAGCCCTGAATGCAGAGCCAGAAGGAAGCCCTGAGCACTGCCGGGTGTGACCCACAAACAACAACAATTCAGTAGCTGTTTCCATCTCCTGAAACATCTGATGTTTCCATCCTGTGTCCTAGACATTGTTCTGACTTGTCAGGTATCTGCTTTCACACTCCCTCACACCTGAAGGCAGTGTCTTAAAGCCGCAGCCATTTTCTTGGCTCCGGGTTCTTTGGTTCATAAGGTTGGGCTGAGTTGAGCTGGGTGGTTCTTCCATGTCATGTGAGTCTTCTGTGTCACCAGTGTCATCTGGTGGTGTTGGGCCTGGGCGTCTGCAGTGACCAACCAAAGGCATATGCTTGGTGACAGGTACTACTTCTTGGCTAGTAGCAGGTGCTATTTCTTGTATTTCTTGTATCAAGTTGGACTTGATAACATGGCAGCAGTGGAGTTGGGGCCTGCCTCTTTGGCATCGTCTTGGGAGTTATTCAGCATCGCTTTGGGGGGCACTTTGTCTCATTTTGGAGAGCCCGGCAAGCTACCGAGAGTATCTTGCCTACACGGCAAAGCCTGACGTATTCGATATGCCAAACACAGTAACAACAAGTCTCACGATGGAGACGTTACTGGGCCCGCTCGAACAAATCGATGAACAACGGGAGGACAGGACAGGACAGTGGAGAGTTGAAGGGCTTGGGCCGTATACCTAACTGTGCTCTGGACTTGCTCCCAGCTCTGCGCTCAGAAGTTGCTCCTGGCTGGGCTCAGGGGACCATTTGGGATGCCAGGGATCAAATCTGGGTCAGCTGCATGCAAGGCTAACACCCTATTCCTGCTCTCTGTCTCTCTGGTCCCATTGGTGTGGGCTCTTGATCAAAGCAGGTCACAAGGTCATCCCTGATTCTAAAAGTACAGAACGATCTCTTACCTTCTCTAGAAAAGACTCTAGAGAGTTTGTGGCCATATTTAAATGTAAAATAGAAATTGAGAAATATGGGCTCGCTTAATCCACCCACACAGCAGTTCTCTGGGTGAGTTCCGTGAATGACCTCAGCTACTCAGAAGTGGAGGCCCCACAGAGAGGTCCAGTGACAGCGAGGGTCTGTGTGAAGTGAACTTTGGGAACTGCTGTGTAAAGTCTCACAGCCCCTGCTGGGACCCGTTGCTTTCTCTGCACCTTGTAAAGAAATGGCCACTCAAACAATTCTGGTTGTTTGGCCCCCTGTGCTGGAGGCTTCACAACGGGTCTGAAGTGGGGTATTATTACTATTAGCACATTTCTGAGAATTAAATGAGAAGACTGAGGCTCATGAAATCAAACGCAAGATCTTTTTTTTTTCTTTTGTGGGCCACACCGAGCAGTGCTCAGGGTTTACGATCATATGGGGTGCCAGGAATCAAACCTGGGTCCACCACGTGTAAGACAAGCACCTGGTCTGTCCAGTGCCAACAAGATCTATAAGAAGAAAACGCCCACTTAACTATCCGACACACAAAAGTGATTTCTCTCAGTTATAAATACCCTCACAGAGATTGTTATTTGTATTTTTTTTAAATCTAATTCTTGCATCTAGTGTTGATTTTTGGAAAAAGATTCTTCTCAAGCTGTGGATTGTAGTTCATTCAAAAGATTCTTCTCAAGCTGAGAATTTTAGTTCACTCATTGCAGAAAAGTGACGGGCATAATCAACGTATTTTCCAGATGTCCCGTGGAGCCCCGGAATAGAAGCAAGATGAATATTCCGTTCCGCATTGGCAGCACCAAAGGAGATGACGCTTTAGAGAAGAGATTTCTTGATAAGGCTCAGGAACTCCATATGATCTCTTTGAAAGGGCACAGGTAAGTGGGTGGCCAGCTGAGAAGTTAATCAGAGAACTGACTGTGCTGTTTTCCACGTAGAGGGAGGCAGACGTAGGGCTTGGCATAGGCAGTATTGTAACTGGTCGGAGAGGAGCAGTCACATGACGGGTCATGATTCTTCCTGCCTTTGCTTATGCAGCTCGTGAAAGTTCCCTCATTGTTCTATGTCTCATGGCTGAGAGGGACCACTCTGTGCTCAAGTCAGGACAAATCATTGCTCTGGTCATGCTTCACATGGAGAGGTCTGAATGCACTGGAAGGCACGGGTCCTTGCTTTCAAGGAGAGAGACCCCTGCCTGTCTGTTGGGGGCTGCCTGCTCCCCAGGGAAACAGACAGTGACCGGTATCATGAGATGGTTTCCCACCTTTTATTTATTTATTTATTTTTGTTTTTGTTTTTTCTTTTTGGGTCACACCTAGCAATGCTCAGGGGTTCCTCGTGGCTCTGCACGCAGGAATTACTTCTGGCGGTGCTCGGGAGACCATATGGGTTGCTGGGAATTGAACCTGGGTCGGCCGCGTGCAAGGCAAATGCCCTACCTACTCTACTATTGCTCCAGTCACCCCGGCTTCCATTTTTCTTTGCCTGGAATGAACTGTTGAATTTACCTAAGTTGTGTGTGAGCCTGATGGGGCCTCAGCACATGAAGAAGAGCTCAAAAGTTCTCGGGGGTTTTCCACCTGGGGAGCTTAACTCTCACTGCAGGAAGAGGATTGCCTTGGGGCTCCACTGACAGCTTGTCCCTGACTGGTCCTTGTTTTTGTTGTATAGGTCCGTGGGGGGCATCCGCGCCTCTCTGTATAACGCTGTCACTCTCGAGGATGTGGAGAAGCTGGCGGCGTTCATGAAAAACTTTTTGGAGATGCATCAGCTTTGAAACCAATCCCCGCGACTTTCTACTCTACCCGTGTCCGAAATTGAGAAGCAACGTGGGAAGGCTCCAGAATCCTCGCCCGCACGGCCTCTCTCTCGATTGACCGTATTCAGTCTAGAGTCTCTCCCTTTGCAGAGAGCAGCCAGACCCCACAGCGCTGTAAAGCTGGTGGGGCATCAGTGCTGACCTGTATTGGGAGAACTGAAAAGGCTTCCTTTGGCTCTTCTAAAACGAACTCCTGCTTCTCTTTCCTTTGCTGCTATTTTTTTTTTTTTTTGCTAGCTCGATCTCAGAGTCGAATGTGCTGTGGGCTGGGTTATGCAGACTGTGCTGTTTGTTTCTGGAGAGGAACACACTCAGCTAGGGAGAGGCCATGGAGGGCGGGGGGGGGGGGGTCTCTAGGTGTTGAATCTTACCCTCTCCCAAAGGACAGCGTCACTGTGTGCGTTTGGGAGGTTCAGGGTCAAGGCAAATGCAGCTTTCTTCGAACGGTTATTTTCATAAAGGTGAGAGTGGCATCTTTATATGGCCGGTCCCGTGTTAGTACTGTATAGTTTCTATCTCTGCATTTTATATTGCTGATAATACGGTTCTTTGTAGGAACTTAGTTAAGAACTTTGGGTATTTGTTCACCTTTAACCTCTGGCTTATACACCCCACTGGCAGCAGCTAACCTCCCTGTTTGTAAAGCCGTTTCATAAGATTTTTAAAAAGTTCTCCGATTCACTTTTATTTTTCATTCCAATGGGCAGAAGAGACAGTTGGTTGCTTGGTTGTTGTTTTCTTTCTTTTCAGAGATGCTTTTCTGTTCAGCATCTCCATGGAGCCCTTAACCCTGTGTTCACTTGCTTGTTCTCTTCAGCGTCCTTGACCAGTGATGGCGGGATTTCCTGCAGAATCTGTACCGAGTCTTTGCTCCTGTTCATCAATTTCAGTGTGTCATGTTGCACATGTAAAAAACATTAAAGTCCTAAAACATCCAAAGCACTGTCTGAATTTCTTTACCTGCTAATTGAGAGATTGGTTGATTTTGGGGCACCCCAGCAGTGATCAGGACCCCCCCACCATGGTGGTTCAGTGCAAGGGATTGAGGATGTGGTGCTGCTCAGGCCCTGCTGGTCTGGGGGTACGCAGCACACCCTGGTCGGCTGGGGTCCTACACAGTCCCCAGTTATGCTGGGTGAGGGAGCGAGTGCTGCTGGAACTGAACCTAGGAAGGCACTTGCTGGGGTGCGCCTGACTGCTGTATTATCTCTCAACTCTTATTTAAAAATTTATTATTAAAGATTATTATTATTATTATTATTTTGCTTGATTTTGGGCCACACAAGGCAGTGTTCAGGATGACTCCTGGCAGGAAAGCGGGGAACCATATGAGATGTCGGGGATCGAACCTAGGGGCTGAAACCTTACCCACTGTACTTTATCGCTTCAGCCCATAACATCATTTTATTTAGGGTGATACCTAGTGATGCTGGGGTCACGCCTCCTGGTCTGCAGCAGTGAGATGCTGACATGGACATGTGGTGTTTGGGACCAAACTCAGGGCCTTGCACATGCTAAGCATGTGAACTGTCCTTTGAGCTGTATCTCTGTTTCCGTCCTTGCTTTTAAATAGTGTTTGGGGGGCCTGGAGGGATAGTACAGTGGGTAGGGCACTGGCCTTGGATGTGACTGACTCAGGTTTAATCCCTAGACCTCCCCCTCACCCCGTGCCTTCCAGAGCCCTGCCAGGAGTGATCCCCGAGTACAGAGCCAGGAGTAAGCCCTGAGCACCACTAGATGTGTCCCAGATATTAAAAGAAAATTTTTTTTTGGAAAAAATTACTCTGATGGGAATACTTATGTGTATAAAAACATCAACTGAAGATTCTTGAGTTGAGTCAAGCTTGGGCAAGACGATCCTAACACGTTCACTTTCCCAGACAGTGCTCTGGTGGCCTCTGCCTTGACCTTGGGAAGGATGTTATCAGCAAAGGCCCTTCCATAGTCATGCCCTGAATGAAGTTCTGTGAGTTTGGTTTTGTGGGTGGCCGCGGTCCCTGGAACAGTCCTGAGCTACCTCAGTATTTTGTCTGGCTTTGGATCACATGGGAAGAGCCACGCTGATTGCCCGCCCCCCCGCCGGCTCTGCCTGTTCATTGGGTTATGTGGGTTCCTGTGTCAGGCTAAGCCCCCCAAGTCTTGGTTCCACTTGGTGGAAACAAAGGATTGAAACAGCTCAGCACTAAACCTCAGGCATGTGTGGGTGTCAACCAAGAGCCTAGAGCAGGACAGGAACTGTGAGCATCACAAGCGTGAGTAGACAAGGCTGGCCGTGTCTGCAATCGCCAAAGTGCTTCCGGGGTGCCTCCATCCATTCGGGGAGATCACAGGCCCCCGAGTTCTAATCCTCCACTTTGTGACTTATTTTACTACAACCTGTCTGCCCCCATCTAAACCCTGGTACAGTCATTTGGATTATGCTTCTCAAACTTCTGGATGAAACATTAAAAGAGCCCAGATTGGACCAGAGAGAGTTCGGGGATAAAGTGTTTGCCTTGACCGTGGCCAATCCCAGTTCCATCCCTGGTACACACAGGTTTCCCTGAGCTTAGACTGGAGTGATCCCTGAGCACCGAGCCAAGATTAACCCCTGAGTACTGCCAGATGTGTCCCCAGAAAGCAAGAGCCCAGGCTTTACTTGCTAGTCTCAGCTGTCTTATTTTTCAATTGTGTCATCATGATTTAATATCAGAGTATTGGGAATCATCCTTCAGGCCACAGCCACTTCCAAGATGCTGACTCCCACCTCTGTCCATGGGCTCCCCCGCCCCCAGCAGTCCCCCCGACGTGCAGACTCAGTTCTGCTCGCAGATTACAGTGATTTGTTTGTACTGGACACGTTCTGTTCACCTGCTGTGTTTGCAGACCACATAGGAATGAGATCAGCCAGTATTTGTCCATCTGACTCCTTTGCTTACATGACATTCTGCAATTCTACCTAAACTGTAGTGAAATCAAGATTTCATCTCTTATGGCTGAATAGTGTTCTATTATGTCTATGCGATGGCTTTATCTACTCTCTCTGGCCACAATGGGTTGTTTTCTTTGTATGAACCTGTGTGAATAGAGGTCAGCCTTGTGTAGAACAAGTCCCTTATATGTCCCCTCTACTATCTCTCTGGCTCTCCTTGGAAATGAATGCTTGCATGTTCTTGGAATGGGACTTGCTGAGTCCTGTGGCAGTTCTGTTGATAATTTTCCGCATAAAAACTCCGCCTGGTTTCCAGAGCCTGACTCAGAAGTCAGTCCATGAGTGAGATTCCTTCTCACTACATCCCAGCAGGCAATGTTGGTTCTGGAATGTTTGTTTGGGGCCATACTTGCTGGTGTGAAGTGACAGCTCATGTGCACTTTGATAATCAGCTTTCTGATGATCCCTTTCCCTGGCAGAGATGACATGGGCACTGTCTCTTATGCCTCTTGGCCATCCATATATCTTCGTTTTGCTTCTCTTTTTGTTTTTGGATCACATCCAGTGGTGCTCAGGGCTTACTCCTGGCTCTGTGCTCAGGGATCACTCCTGGCAAGCTTGGGAGACTCTGTGGGGTGCCAGGATCAAACCTGAGTTGGCTGCATATAAGGCAAAAGCTATCACTCCAGCCCCACATACATCTTTGAGGAAGCACCCCTGCCTTTTGACAGGGTTGTTCATTCTTTTTTGTTGTTGCTGTTTTGTGAGCTCAAGTCCTCTTAGGACTCGCAGCTCTGTGGCATCGGGCCTGACCTCTTTCTTGTGTTTACAACTCTTGAGGTGTGACATGCATTTGTTCCTCCCACAACAGGCAACCCTGCCTTCGCTTGGCAGGCCCCTCCTTCCTTCCAGATGCCTGCCAACTCCCTGCTTCACTGTTTCCTCTGTGACAGCAATGCCCCTTGGCTTGTTCAAACAAGGGTGACCCTTCTCAGTCATTTCATCACCTCCATTCTCTTTGTTGAGGCGTCTGCCTCCCCTGCATCCCTGCAGTATAACTGGTACGAGCCCCACTCGATTTCCAGGTACGACCAGGCTCCGCTTGACATCCGAAACAGACAAGCTCAAGTCTGTTCAGGGCGTGTGGTACTTTCTCCCACTTCATAGCACGTATTCATTCATCAACAGTCTGATGAATGAGTGTCTGATGATATCAGTCGATCTTTCTGAGGAAGAAATACATTCTCACATAGGCGTTTTTTTTTTTTTTTTCAGGAGCTGAGTATGCCATCCACGTTGATTTTCCACTAAAATGATCCATTATTGGCTGTGGCTGAGTGCGGAGTTGTCAAATCTTGAAAGGTCTCTGGGTTCATGCTTAAAAACTTGGGAAAACTTGGGAAAATGATCAGCAGTTGTTCTTGCATTGATACCAAAGGTGGTCAGTGTTTGGCCTCTGGGAGGTTTGCGTAGAGACTGTACAGGAAAAGCCTTGAGGCTTGTATGCTTCAGTCCGCTGAGTGTATGCAGAGGTGGGTTGGAGGGGGTCAGAGACACAAGTGCCGGGGTCATTCCTCTATGACTAAGAGCCGAAGAAGCAAGAAGGTGTCTTGGAATCTGCCTTAGAGGACAGGATTGACCTTATGCTCCTTCGACCTCCTAATTGTCGCACTGTAGCACTGTCCTCCTGTTGTTTATCGATTTGCTCGAGCGGGCCCAGTAACGTCTCCATTGTGAGACTTGTTATGTGTTTGGCATATCGAATACGTCACAGGTAGCTTGCCAGGCTTTGCTGTGCGGGCAAGATACTCTCAGTAGCTTGCCAGGCTCTCCAAGAGGGGCAGAGGAATCGAACTTGGCTCGGCCAGGCCAGGCCGTGTGCAAGGCAAAAGCCCTACTGCTGTGCTATTGGTCCAGTCCCTCCTAATTGTACTTCCTCTAAATGGAGTTAGAATTTTTCTCTTTTTAAAAAAAATTATTATTTTTTAAAAAATGGAATCACCCCGAGATACACAGTTTCAAAATTGTCACTGTGACCCCAGGGTGGTGGGAGGTAAACTTGGGACATTGGA